AGTGTTGAGTCTATGGGCAGTGTTGAGTCTATGGGCAGTGTTGAGTCTATGGGTATGTTGAGTCTCTGGGTGGTGTTGAGTATGTGGGTGGTGTTGAGTCTATGGGTAGTGTTGAGTCTATGGGTAGTGTTGAATCTATGGTGAAGTGTTGAGTCTATGGGTAGTGTTAGTCTATGGGCAGTGTTGAGTCTATGGGCAGTGTTGAGTCTATGGGCAGTGTCAGCCTATGGGTAGTGTTGAGTCTATGGGCAGTGTTGAGTCTATGGGCAGTGGTAGACTATGGGTAGTGTTGAGTCTATGGGGAGTGTTGAGTCTATGGGCAGTGTTGAGTCTATGGGTAGTGTTGAGTATGTGGGTGGTGTTGAGTCTATGGGTAGTGTTGAGTCTATGGGTAGTGTTAGTCTATGGGCAGTGTTGAGTCTATGGACAGTGTTGAATCTATGGGTAGTGTTGAGTATGTGGGCAGTGTTGAGTCTATGGGTAGTGTTGAGTTTATGGGCAGTGTTGAGTTTATGGGCAGTGTTGAGTCTATGGGCAGTGTCAATCTACGGGCAGTGTGTACGTGTGTTGAACATCTTTCGCACCGTGCGTAGCCGACTCCGCTAATCGTAGTTGCGTCCGGGGGGGTGGGGGGGGAGCAAAGTCAACAACAACGACAACACCAACAACAACAACACCAACAACAACAAGCGCCGTGCCGCTCTACCATCTGTGCGGCTTCCGTTGTCCCGCAGGGAGAAGTTGGCTCCGGTGGCGAGGAGGGATCGGGCGGAAACGACGGACTCAAGGTTTGCTTCCTGGAATCCCGCCACCACCACCGCCACCACCACCGCCACCACCACCACCGTCACCACCACCACCGTCACCACCACCACCGTCACCACCACCACCGCCACCACCACCACCGTCACCACCACCACCACCACCACCGTCACCACTACCACCGCCACCACCACCGCCACCACCACCACCGTCACACCACCGTCACTGTCACCACCGTCACCACCACCACCGCCACCACCACCATCACCACCACCGTCACCACCACCACCGCCACCACCACCGTCACCGTCACCACCACCACCGTCACTGTCACCGCGCGGTTTCGCCGGCTCCGGTTTTGACGTCGGTGGCGGTACAACGTGACCGTTTACCGCTCCGATTAATTTTTTTTTTCGTTCAATTTTGACTTAAAACTTTCGTGACTTCAGCAGCAATTCAGATTCTTGGTTCTTTCGGTGAAGTCACTTAGATAGAAAATTTAATAGAAATTATAAATTGAAAATAGTTAAAGCTTTTATTAAAAAAAAAATAATAAAGGGGGGGTGGGGCGGGGGGAGTGGGGAGGTGCGAGTGGGGATGGTGGAGTGGGCAGGGGGGGAGTGGGGAGGTGAGAGTGGGGAGGGGGGGAGTGGGGAGGGGGGGAGTGGGGAGGGAAGGGTGGGGAGGGGGGGGGAGTGGGGAGGGGAGGGAGTGGGGAGGGGGGGAGGGAGGGGGGGGAGTGGGGAAGTGGGGTGGGGAGGGGGGGTGGGAAGGGGGGGAGTGGGGAGGGGGGGGAGTGGGGAGGGGGGGGAGTGGGGTAGGGAGGTGGGGAGGGAAGGGTGGGGAGGGGAGGGAGTGGGGAGTGGGGAGGTGGGGGTGGGGAGGGGGGGAGTGGGGAGGGGGGGGAGTGGGGAGGTGGGGGTGGGGAGGGGGGGGAGTGGGAAGGGGGGGGTGGGGAGGGGGAGGGGGGGGAGTGGGGAGGTGGGGGTGGGGAGGGGGGGAGTGGGGAAGGGGGGGAGTGGGGAGGGGGGGGTGGGAGGGGGAGGGGGGGGAGTGGGGAGGTGGGGGTGGGGAGGGGGGAGTGGGGAGGGGGGGGAGTGGGGAGGTGGGGGTGGGGAGGGGGGGGGAGTGGGGAGGGGGGGAGGAGAGGTGGGGAGGGGGTGGGGAGGGGGGGGGAGTGGGGAGGGGGGGGAGTGGGGAGGGGGGTGGGGAGGGGGGGGAGTGGGAAGGGGGGGGGAAGTGGGGGTGGGGAGGGGGGGTGGGAAGTGGGGGTGGGGAGGGGGGGGTGGGAAGTGGGGGTGGGGAGGGGGGGGAGTTGGGAGGGCGGGTTTATCTCTGGGAAAGAATCGGAGAATCCTGGAGGCAACCCGCGCGGATCAGGGGGAGAGAGCTCACAAAGACAAAGCCCCCACCCCGTGGCGCCAGGCCACCAGCACGTCGGGAGCAAGTGCCGTTAGCGAGGAGCAGCGCCCTCACGTGAAGGCCGGCACGGCACTCGAGATGACGCATTTGAGGCTGAGTCGACCTAGGAGGGAGGGAGAGGGGGTGGGGGGGGTGGCAGGGCCAGGACCGGTTGGGCTAAATCGTCGCCGGCGTTGGTGACCGCGAGCTGGAATCGATCTGCGGGCCGTAGCCAGGAGGGGGGGGGGGGGGTCACGCAGAGTGGGGGGTCATGCTGGTCCACTCTGCTCACGTTTCCATGTCCTTGGTGGCCAACAGAGGGTCCTGGTCAGAGGTCGCAAACGGGTTTTGATTCCTTACCCGTACCCGGCCGCACCAGGGTTGCAAACGGGTACCCGTACCCGGCCGTACCCGTACCCTACCCGTGCCCGGTCGGGTACGGGTAGGGTACAGGTACGGGTACCCGATTGCGACCTCTGGGATGAAGCCATGTTGCAGACGCGGGTGGGTTGATTCTAGGAACTTGAATTGTGAGAAGAGACAAGACGTTGGGAAATGAGTGACAAACGGTGACTCACCAGTGACTCACGGCCTACCCGTACCCGGCCGCACCAGGGTCGCAAACGGGTACCCGTACCCGGCCGGGTACGGGTAGCCGGGTATCGGGTAGGGTACGGGTATCGGGTACCCGGTTGCGACCTCTGGTCCCGGGTCGCGAGGCTGGATATCAGCGGCAGCCGTCTTCCAAAAAAAGTGAGGAAGGAGGAAAAGGAAAATGCTTGGAAGCTCCGCCTGATGTTTTTTTTATCGGTTTCGTTTCATGCGGATTTGGAGGAGCGCGTTTGGCAGGCTGGGTTTCTCGTGAAACCTCGATCGGGTGTTTTTGTTGTTGTTGTTTTTGTTTTTGTTGTTGTTTTTACGACGGACGCGGACTTTCCCCGCGCGGCCGGCAACCATCGACGGACCACGGCACGAACTCGGCAAAAACTACTTTTGCATCGGCGGCGCAGTGAAACGTGCAAACGGTGGATCGCGTAAGAGCAGGCGACGGCTTTCGGACGGGATGTGACCCCTCTCAGTTCTCCCTCCCATCCCCTTCCCCGCGTGAATCCTCCCCGTGTCGCCCTAGGGAGACAAGGGTGACCCGGGTCCGGACGGGGAGAGTGGAGAGAGGGCGGAGATCGGGTCAAAGGGCAGCGACGGGCCAGTTGGTGACTCGGGCATCGTGGGCGTCAGGGTCAGTGTGTGGCTCTCTCTCTCTCTACAAAGACAAAGATCCTCACACCCCGTGTAGCCTTAAGGGACTGCTGGGGCAAGTGCTGTTAGCGAAGGCCGGCACGGCGCACTTGGGGGTGGGTGGCCAGCACCACGCCAGATGCATGAAGACAAAGATTTAATTTTAGATTTGAAGCTTTGGTGACTGCAAGGATTCATGTACTCTTAGGTTTTTTTCGATAAAGTCACGTAGGTAAAAAAATAAAATTCAAATTAATAAAAGTAACGATAGAAACTAAATAAAATATGTTATTAATAATAGGAACAAAATATTGTATTAATAATAGAAACTAAATAAAATATTTTATTAATGATAGGAACAAAATAAAATATGTTATTAATAATAGGAACAAAATAAAATATGTAATTAATAACAGAAACAAAATGTTTTATTAATAATAGAAACCAAATAAAATATTTTATTATTTTATTTTGTTTCTATTATTACTTTTATTAATTTTAATTTTATTTTTTTACCTACGTGACTTTACCGAAAAAACCTACAAAGATTTCAGTTTAATTTCATTTCAGTTTCATTTAGTAGGTACTTGCTTCTACTACCCCGGCTTTGCCCGGGACTTGTATTCACCACGCCCGGCCGCCTTTGTCTCCCCAGTGGTGATGTTCACACACCGCAGCAGTTACTCGTTTAAGGCTGAGTCGACCTAGGGGAGGCCCAGGAGCGGTTAAAAAAATCGTCACCGGTGGTGGCCGTGAGCGGGAATCGAACTCGGGTCGCCGGGTTCGTAGCGCGGCGCGCTACCCGCTACACTACGCTGCGTTACGCTTCCACGTGCGCGGGTCACGTGACAGGTGTGACGTCACAGCTCACTTGCCGTGCAAAAAATCAATGCATTATTGAGCTCCCCCTCCCACCCCCCAAAAAAAAAAGTGGATTTTTATAATTGTTGCATGGTGTTCAGTCTGGAAAGTACCCACATGGCAAATGTCAAGTTTGTTGCATGCCGGGAAGTACGCTAAACATCAGGGGCGGTTTCTTCATTAGGGCGATTGGGCGACGCACCACCAATGTCATTCAACCACAGAGTCACGCTAGCCGTCACTGTGCAGCCTCTGGATATAGTCCAATCAGCGTCATGTCACGTTCTGTGGAGTACCGCCTCTTTTTGGGCGATTTCACTCCGGCTGAGAATCGCCCCGAGTGGCCCCATAGACTTACATTCAAAGATGTTTTTTTTTGAACGGGGGCGCTGCAATGCATTCTCTACGACTTCCGGGAGGGCTCGCACTAACGTGCTTACGTCATCATACGTGCTTACGTCATCATACGTAAGCACGTTTCATCCAACAATATAATTTGTGGCCACCTAGTGGAATCTTTAATAATAGTTTTAATAGTGAGTATAGAAACAAACAAGATGTATTGTAAGAGTCACTTTATTTTTCATTAATATTAAAGAAGTGAAGTTGCCTTTACATGCTTAAGCTGATTTAAAGCTTTCGTGACTGCAGGGATTCATCTTCTTGGTTCTTTCGGTAAAGTCACGTAGAAGGGAAGTAATAAAATAATAAAAATAAAACATAATAAAACAATTCTCACGACGTTTCGGCCACAACGCAAGCAGCCGTCCTCAGGTGAAAACCAGGTCCGTCGAGGCGACAGAGTCTGAATGAAACAGCACACGGGCTTGGAGCATATATATAAGCTGGGCGCATTGACAAAGGAATTTGCATATCAACAGGAATTTAGCATATTTATGGGAAATGCAGGAATGCAGTACTAATTACATTCCTGCATTTCCCATAAATATGCTAAATTCCTGTTGATATGCAAATTCCTTTGTCAATGCGCCCAGCTTATCTATATGCTCCAAGCCCGTGTGCTGTTTCATTCAGACTCTGTCGCCTCGACGGACCTGGTTTTCACCTGAGGACGGCTGCTTGCGTTGTGGCCGAAACGTCGTGAGAATTGTTTTATTATGTTTTATTTTTATTATTTTATTACTTCCCTTCTACGTGACTTTACCGAAAGAACCAAGAAGATGCTTAAGCTGTTAATTTATCCATTGCATGGGTGGACCTTATCCTTATCAATCATCCAGACATTTGCCCCCCCTGAGAGATTTTGCAGGAGCCGCCACTGCTAAACATATTGAACAGACACACATAATCACAACTTTGCCGTTTAGACATATGGAGATAACCCTGTGAGCCATGCGGCTCTTGACTCGGGTGCAACCGCAACAAAAACAAAAACGCGAACAAGAAACATCTTAAAGTGACTACCCGCAACAGAAAAATCCTGTTGCTGATGAGCGTGCATCTGTTGTTGTTCCTGCTGCTGTTGCTGCTGCTCACGATGATGATGCTGCTACTAATGCTGCTAATGATGATGCTGCTGCTGCGGATGGCGATGATGATGATGGTATTGATGCGTTTGTTGTTGCTGCTGCTGCTGTCGATGATGATCTCATTTTGTTGTAGGGTTTGGAAGGGAAGATTGGCAAACCTGGAGAGAGAGGAAAACTTGGACGGAAGGTATAACTTAAACATGTTTTATTTTGCCAGGGGAGGCCCACTGAGCTATGTAGCTCTTTTTCAGAAGTGCCCTGGCCACAAATAATAGCTCAGCAAAGTCGCTTATCACGTGGTAATTGTTTTTGCAGTAGCCAAACACTTTGAACGCGCGACGTTGATTCTAAATGCGGAGGGAAAACCCGGAGGACCCGGAGAAAAATCCACGCGACCACGGGGGAGAGAGAGACACGCAAACTCCAAATATACAGCAGCAGCAGCGGGCGTCAGGGTTGGGATTGAACCCACGACCTCCTGTACACCAGGCAAGGTAGTTAACATCTCCTAGCCACCGTGATGATGATGAGAGAGAGAGACACGCAAACTCCAAATATACAGCAGCCGGCGTCAGGGTTGGGATTGAACCCACGACCTCCTGTACACCAGGCGAGGTAGTTAACATCTCCTAGCCACCGTGATGATGAGAGAGAGAGACACGCAAACTCCAAATATACAGCAGCAGGCGTCAGGGTTGGGATTGAACCCACGACCTCCTGCACACCAGGCGAGGTAGTTAACATCTCCTAGCCACCGTGATGATGATGAGAGAGAGAGACACGCAAACTCCAAATATACAGCAGCAGGCGTCAGGGTTGGGATTGAACCCACGACCTCCTGTACACCAGGCGAGGTAGTTAACATCTCCTAGCCACCGTGATGATGATGAGAGAGAGAGACACGCAAACTCCAAATATACAGCAGCAGGCGTCAGGGTTGGGATTGAACCCACGACCTCCTGTACACCAGGCGAGGTAGTCAACATCTCCTAGCCACCGTGATGATGAGAGAGAGAGACACGCAAACTCCAAATATACAGCAGCAGGCGTCAGGGTTGGGATTGAACCCACGACCTCCTGCACACCAGGCGAGGTAGTTAACATCTCCTAGCCACCGTGATGATGATGAGAGAGAGAGACACGCAAACTCCAAATATACAGCAGCAGGCGTCAGGGTTGGGATTGAACCCACGACCTCCTGTACACCAGGCGAGGTAGTCAACATTTCCTAGCCACCGTGATGATGATGAGAGAGAGAGACACGCAAACTCCAAATATACAGCAGCAGGCGTCAGGGTTGGGATTGAACCCACGACCTCCTGTACACCAGGCGAGGTAGTCAACATTTCCTAGCCACCGTGATGATGATGAGAGAGAGAGACACGCAAACTCCAAATATACAGCAGCAGGCGTCAGGGTTGGGATTGAACCCACGACCTCCTGTACACCAGGCGAGGTAGTTAACCTTCCGCCGCCAACACATGCGCACGTGAAGCTCGCAGCCAGCGGTCCGAGCGAGAGAATTTTACTGTTTTATATTTTTGTTATTTTATTTTTTTCCCTTCTACGTGACTTTACCGAAAGAACCAAGAATATGAATTCCCTATTGTTTGTTGTTCATTGTTGTTTGTGTCTCATTGTTCTTAGCTATTGTCTATCGTTCCACCGTTTATTGTTGTTCATGATTGTTTGTTGATTGCCATTTGTTGTTTGTTGTTGTTGCTGCTGCTGTTGTTGTTGTCTTTCTTACCAGGGTGACAAGGGTCAGCTGGGCCCCGTGGGGGAGCAGGGCACCACGGGCCTCGTCGGGAAGGATGGAGACACGGGGATCAAAGGCGTTCGCGGCAGCAGAGGCCCAATGGTTCATTTTAATCATTATAATTCGTTATTATCATTGATTATTATTCATTATAATGTATTATTATGCATTATTATTATTCATTATTATTCAATATTATTCATTATTAGTATTCGTTATTATTCATTGTTATTATTCACTATTAATCAATATTATTTATTCTTATTCATCATTAATTATTATGCATTATTATGCATTATTATTTATTCATTATTAATCATTATTATTTTCATTATTATTGCTTCTTATTTATTCAATGCTAGTCATTATTATTTATTATTTTTATTATTTTTATTTAATAATATTATTATATTATATTATTACTTGTTATTATTCATCATTTATTCTTATTCATTTTTATTTATTTTTATTAATAATCATTATTATTAATTTTTATTTATTATGCATTATTATTTATTGTTATGTATTATTCATTATTATTATTTATTATTATTATCGATTATTGCACTCTGTTACCCAGGAAAGCCTCATTGATCTCTGTCTGGATGTCTCTGTCTCTGATCTCTATCTGGTTATCTCTGCTCTTATCTCTAACTGGCTGTCTTTGATCTGATCTCTATCTGGATGTCTCTGTCTCTGATCTCTATCTGGTTATCTCTGCTCTTATCTCTAGCTGGCTGTCTTTGATCTGATCTCTATCTGGTTGTCTCTGTCTCTGATCTCTATCTGGTTATCTCTGCTCTTATCTCTAGCTGGCTGTCTTTGATCTGATCTCTATCTGGTTGTCTCTGCTCTGATCTCTCTTGGCTCATATCACTGCACCTATTTTGTTACGTATTTGTGTCCTTTCGTCAACATCGTGACCCAGGTCGCCCTCACGAACCGTTCTCCCTCTCATCCCGGTCTCACCTGGACACACAGACTCACCTTTCGGCGCCCTGAGCGAGCGGACGTCGTCGCGGGCTGCATGACCCGCCGTGACTCTTGAAAACACCGGATCGGACTCGCCCCGCCGCATGTTGGTTATTCATTTTTTTATTTGTCGCCTCCCAGGGTACACCGGGGCGAATGGGAGTCCACGGCGAATCGGGGATCCCGGGGAATTCGGTGAGTGTCCGCGATAAACGTCAAAAAATTATTAAGTAAAACCTTGGATTGCGAGCATAATTCGTTCCGGAAACAAGCTTGTAATCCTAAACTCTCGTATATCAAAGCACTCGTGTATCAGTTGTGATCACGTGATGCTCGGCAGGCAAAGCATTACTGCTCGTATTGCAAGACCTCGCTCGTTTATCAAGTTAATATTTAATTTAAAAAAATGCTCGTCTTGCAAAACACTCACAGACCAAGTTACTCACAATCCAAGGTTTTTACTGTATACATGTTTAGAGGGTTTCATATAAATGTTGTGTCGTTAACCCACCACCACCACCACCTGAGACGACCAGCCAATCGGCAAGGTTGTCTACGCCGCGTAAGCAAAAACGTGCCAATTGGCTGCTACCTTCAGCCCAACCGGATTGTGTGTTGCAGAGTAAATCTAAACAAACGATTGCAAATTTGAGTACCGCGACGTAATCGCTAGTGATTTTACTCTCCCAGCACACGACCGGTTTAGTGGCGAACTAGCATTTAATTCTAGATTTGAAGCTTTCGTGACTGCAAGGATTCATATTCTTAGGTTTTTTTCGGTAAAGTCACGTAGGTAAAAAAATTCAAATTCAAATTAATGAAAGTAAAATAAAAATAAAATAAAAATCACGACGTTCCACCTGAAGACGGAAGCTTGTGTTGCCTCCGAAACGTCGTGATGTTTATTTTATTTTTATTTTACTTTCAATAATTTTGATTTTAATTTTTTACCTACGTGACTTTGGTGGTGAGACTGGGCCATAAAGAAGGCTGCTGCTGGCTCTGTTGTAGGCCAATCGGTGTCAAAGACGGTGCATCACACATTAGTATCAGAGCCGTGTTTGTGTTTGTATGTTCACCACCATCACTGTGTGTGTGTGTGGTTAATGCAGTAACTTTATTCCTTGCGAAAGGTTTATATTTGTTGTTTGAGCATCTTGAAACCCCCATCTCCCCTCCCCCCTATACGATTGGTTCTTTCGGTAAAATCACGTAGAAGGGAAATAAAAAAAATATTTATTTCCCTTCTACGTGACTTTACCGATAGAAACAAGAATATGAATCCCTGCAGTCACGAAAGCTTTAAATGGAACCCCCCCCCTGTTTTATTGCCAGAAAGGGTAAAATCTATTCTTATTTTTTTTTTTATTTGTGTACACTTTGTTGTTGGTGTTGTTATTGTTGTTGTTGTTATTGTTGTTGTTGTTATTCAGGGGCACAAGGGCCCTCTGGGCCCAAGAGGAATATCTGGGCACAAAGGTGAAAAGGTGAGATGCATTTTTATTTTTGGAGTTTGGGATATTTTTGGCTTGAAGTTTTCTGGATGAAGAGGAAAGACCCCAGCTGGGCCCCAAAGTGAGAGGGCCGGGAGGTATGCAGTCAACAATGCTTGACTCAGGGAGGAGGACGCCCCTGCCATGCATAGTCCCATGGGATGTTGGCTATCAACAACAAGGCAACTCCTATGACTAATTGGGATTGGGACGCAAGCGTAGGATTGATCACCCTGTCGCTGGCCGCCTTTGGGGAGGGTGTATAGTGTGAAAGGCCGAAACACCCTAGGAACCAAAGGTTCACTACTGACGATGCGCTCCCCAAATTTCACCAGGCTCACTGTTCATGAACTCTTGGAAGTGCTTGCACAAAGGATAGTAACATCTCATCCTGTGTTCTTTGGAATCTGAATATGACCGGATCCGTGTGTGTGTTGGTGGTCCAGTAATGAATTTTGTTTTTGTTTTAATCCGTCACGCTTTTTTGGCTTGCAGGGAGAGCAAGGGGAAGACTGGAAGGGAGCAGGACCCACCGGACCGCCCGGCGAGAGAGTGAGTGCAATGCAGCCACATCGCCCAACGCTCTCGGGCTCCCCATACCAAACAAACTCAAGTTCATTTATTTGGTATAGCCCTGTGAGCCATTCGGCTGTTGAATCGGGTGCAACCGCAACAAACAAAAACATGAAAAACATCTTAAAGTGAATATGTAACTGAGTGCAAACAGAAATCCAAGAAAAGACAGCAAAATATTGCAGGAAAAAATCACCGTACACCAACGCTGTGTGCAAAAATCCCAGTGGGATGCAAGTCAAACAACCAACAACAACCACAAGACAACTTAGATTAAGGCCATCAGTCTAACTCTGTACTATAACACACAAACATGGCTAAACCAATATACTTTTCGAAATCACCAAAATAAAGCCATGAAAGCAATGAAACACTGACACACAGATCAGAGATTCTAGATTTGAAGCTTTCGTGACTGCAAGGATTCATACTCTTTGGTTTTTTTTCGGTAAAGTCACGTAGGTGAAAAAATAAAATTAAAATTACTGAAAGTAATAATAAGAATAAAATAATAAATCACGACGTTTCGGAGGCAACACAAGTCTCCGTCATCAGGTGGGACCGTCACAGCCAGATTTACTGTATCAAGTGGGGCAAAAAATGTGTTCGTAGCGCAGCGTAGCGCTAACCGCTACACCACCGCTCCACACCATCACCACAGACACATACGAAAGAGTCAGATTATACAAATATACACAGACATTGTTACTGATGAGAACAGACAACACCAATGACAATGGAGATGATGATGAGGATGAATATAATGATAATGTTTAAAATGATGATGATGGTGTAATGAAGGTGATTATAGGGAGGTATGATGATGATGATGATATTTAAGATCATGATGATGATGGTGATGGTATAACGAAGGTGATTGTGAGGATGGATAATGATGATATTTAAGATCATGATGATGATGGTCTAATGAAAGTAATTAAGAGGATGGATGAAAATTATATTTAAGATCATGATGGTGACGACGATAATGATTATAAGCAATTAGGATTGTTAATGTTTATTCGTGATACCAACGATAATTATTACCAATACCCCGGTATTGCGAGTGATGACACTGGACGGGTGTTCGTGTTTAAGGGGCCCCAAGGCAGCTCTGGAGAGAAGGGGCTCTCGGGAGATCAGGGATATCCGGTCAGTGATGGAGACACGACCCAAATGTCTGCTTACATCCCATTGATGGACACTGACCCTCTGACTCAACACTGAGACACAGACTCAACGCTGACTCACAGACTCAACACTGACACACAGACTCAACACTGACCCACAGACTCAACACTGACCCACAGTCTCAACACTGACCCACAGTCTCAACACTGATACACAGACTCAACGCTGACTCACAGCCTCAACACTGACCCACAGACTCAACACTGACACACAGACTCAACGCTGACTCACAGACTCAACGCTGACTCACAGCCTCAACACTGACCCACAGACTCAACACTGACACACAGACTCAACACTGACTCACAGACTCAACACTGACCCACAGACTCAACACTGACACACAGACTCAACGCTGACTCACAGCCTCAACACTGACCCACAGTCTCAACACTGACACACAGACTCAACACTGACCCACAGACTCAACACTGACACACAGACTCAACACTGACCCACAGACTCAACACTGACACACAGACTCAACACTGACCCACAGACTCAACACTGACACACAGACTCAACACTGACCCACAGACTCAACACTGACCCACAGACTCAACACTGACACACAGTCTCAACACTGACCCACAGACTCAACACTGACACACAGTCTCAACACTGACCCATAGACTCAACACTGACACACAGACTCAACACTGACACACAGTCTCAACACTGACACACAGACTCAACACTGACACACAGACTCAACACTGACACACAGTCTCAACACTGACCCACAGACTCAACACTGACACACAGACTCAACACTGACCCACAGACTCAACACTGACACACAGACTCAACGCTGACTCACAGCCTCAACGCTGACTCACAGCCTCAACACTGACCCACAGCCTCAACACTGACACACAGACTCAACACTGACCCACAGACTCAACACTGACACACAGACTCAACAATGACACACAGACTCAACGCTGACTCACAGACTCAACACTGACACCACAGACTCAACACTGACACCACAGACTCAACACTGACACCACAGACTCAACACTGACACCACAGACTCAACACTGACACCACAGACTCAACACTGACACCACAGACTCAACACTGACACCACAGACTCAACACTGACACACAGACTCAACGCTGACTCACAGTCTCAACACTGACTCACAGTCTCAACGCTGACACAGTCTCAACACTGACTCACAGTCTCAACGCTGACCACAGACTCAACACTGACACACAGACTCAACACTGACACACAGACTCAACACTGACACACAGACGCAACGCTGACTCACAGTCTCAACACTGACTCACAGTCTCAACGCTGACACAGTCTCAACACTGACTCACAGTCTCAACGCTGACACAGTCTCAACACTGACTCACAGTCTCAACGCTGACCCACAGACTCAACGCTCACCAAAGTAGGGTCAGTATATTCCCGGGTTCACTCGGTTTGGGTGCCACGTTCACCTCTCACCGCACAGGGACAGCTGCCATTGGGGGTGCCCTTGGCCACACTGAGGCACGCTGTGAATGTTTAGTGACGACGGTGATGACGACGATGACAATGATGATGACGATAATGACGACGATGATGATGACGATGAAGAGGATGATGATGACAACGATGATGATGACGATGATAACGATGATGACAATGATGATGACTATGATGATGATGACGATGATGATGATGACCATGATGATGACGATAATGACGACGATGATGATGATGACGATGATGATGACGACGATGATGACGACAATGATGACGTTTCCTTCCTAGGGTCTGGTTGGCGTTCTTGGCTCAAGAGGCCAAGAAGGGCAACAGGGAACCCCTGTAAGTATGAGTATGCGTGTATGTTTGTTGAACTTATTTCGCACCGTACGTAGTCAACTTTGCTAATCGGAGGTGCAGTGTTGAGTCTATGGGCAGTGTTGAGTCTATGGGCAGTGTTGAGTCTATGGGCAGTGTTGAGTCTATGGGCAGTGTTGAGTCTATGGGCAGTGTTGAGTCTATGGACAGTGTTGAGTCTATGGGTAGTGTTGAGTCTATGGGCAGTGTTGAGTCTATGGGCAGTGTTGAGTCTATGGGCAGTGTTGAGTCTATGGGCAGTGTTGAGTCTATGGGCAGTGTTGAGTCTATGGGCAGTGTTGAGTCTATGGGCAGTGTTGAGTCTATGGGCAGTGTTGAGTCTATGGGCAGTGTTGAGTCTATGGGTAGTGTTGAGTCTATGGGCAGTGTTGAGTCTATGGGCAGTGTTGAGTCTATGGGCAGTGTTGAGTCTATGGGCAGTGTTGAGTCTATGGGCAGTGTTGAGTCTATGGGCAGTGTTGAGTCTATGGGCAGTGCTGAGTCTATGGGCAGTGTTGAGTCTATGGGCAGTGTTGAGTCTATGGGCAGTGTTGAGTCTATGGGCAGTGTTGAGTCTATGGGCAGTGTTGAGTCTATGGGTAGTGTTGAGTCTATGGGTAGTGTTTAGTCTATGGGTAGTGTTGAGTCTATGGGTAGTGTTGAGTCTATGGGATAGTGTTGAGTCTATGGGTAGTGTTGAGTCTATGGGCAGTGTTGAGTCTATGGGCAGTGTTGAGTCTATGGGCAGTGTAGAGTCTATGGGTAGTGTTGAGTCTATGGGCAGTGTTGAGTCTATGGGCGGTGTTGAGTCTATGGGCGGTGTTGAGTCTATGGGCGGTGTTGAGTCTTTGGGCGGTGTTGAGTCTATGGGCGGTGTTGAGTCTATGGGCGGTGTTGAGTCTTTGGGCGGTGTTGAGTCTATGGGCGGTGTTGAGTCTATGGGCGGTGTTGAGTCTATGGGCGGTGTTGAGTCTATGGGCAGTGTTGAGTCTATGGGCAGTGTTGAGTCTATGGGTAGTGTTGAGTCTATGGGTAGTGTTGAGTCTATGGGATAGTGTTGAGTCTATGGGTAGTGTTGAGTCTATGGGCAGTGTTGAGTCTATGGGCAGTGTTGAGTCTATGGGCAGTGTAGAGTCTATGGGTAGTGTTGAGTCTATGGGCAGTGTTGAGTCTATGGGCAGTGTTGAGTCTATGGGCAGTGTTGAGTCTATGGGCAGTGTTGAGTCTATGGGCAGTGTTGAGTCTATGGGCAGTGTTGAGTCTATGGGTAGTGTTGAGTCTATGGGTAGTGTTTAGTCTATGGGTTGTGTTGAGTCTATGGGTAGTGTTGAGTCTATGGGCAGTGTTGAGTCTATGGGCAGTGTTGAGTCTATGGGCAGTGTAGAGTCTATGGGTAGTGTTGAGTCTATGGGCAGTGTTGAGTCTATGGGCAGTGTTGAGTCTATGGGCAGTGTTGAGTCTATGGGCAGTGTTGAGTCTATGGGCAGTGTTGAGTCTATGGGCAGTGTTGAGTCTATGGGCAGTGTTGAGTCTATGGGCAGTGTTGAGTCTATAGGTAGTGTTGAGTCTATGGGCAGTGTTGAGTCTATGGGCAGTGTTGAGTCTATGGGCAGTGTAGAGTCTATGGGCAGTGTTGAGTCTATGGGCAGTGTTGAGTCTATGGATGCCCATAGACTCAACGCTGCACCTCCGATCAGCGTGGTGGGCTACGTACATCCCTGCTCTCTCGCGCCTCGTTTGGCGTGGACGCCGCCGCTGTGCGAAACCCAGCGAACATTTTTATCGTCGTGAAGCTCATTATTATTATTCTTTCGTTTTTTCCACGACATTTTCTTCGTAGGGCAACACAGGCCCCCCTGGAATCGATGGCGCTAAAGGAGCCAAAGGCTACAAGGTGAGAGCACCACGTGGTTCATTCCGTGTCCCACCAGCAGGAGCATCGCGGTTTGCAATGAGATGTTAACTACCTCGCCTGGTGTGCAGGATATCGTGGGTTCGATCCCGATCCTGACGCCTGCTGCTGTATATTTGGAGTTTGTGTGTCTCTCTCATCATCATCACAGTGGCTAGGAGATGTTAACTACCTCGCCTTGTGTGCAGGAGGTCGTGAGTTCGATCCCGACCCTGACGGCTTCTCAATATTTGGAGTTTGCGTGTCTCTCTCTCTCCCCGTGGTGAGATGTTAACTACCTCGCCTGGTATACAGGAGGTCGTAGATTGGATCCAGACCCTGACACTGGCTGTTAATGCATACGTATATATTTGTAGATATATGTAATTACTGGCAAAATGTCACACTGCCCGACTTGTCAATGTTGTAGTGGGTTTACTCTCCAACCAACAACCGGTTAGTGCTGTACTAGTAACGAATTCATATTCTTGGTTCTTTCAGTAAAGTCACGTAGAAGGGAAATAATAAAATAATAAAAATATAAAACAATACAATTCTCACGACGTTTCGACTGCAACACAAGCAATCGTCATCAGGTGTGAAATCCACAGCAAGAAAACTTTTTTTCTAAAACTTTATTCAAAATTTTTTGCTGTGGATTTCACACCTGATGATGATTGCTTGTGTTGCAGTCGAAACGTCGTGAGAATCTTATTGTTTTATATTTTTATTATTTTTTTATTTTCTTGCTGTGGATTTCACATCTGATGATGATTGCTTGTGATCGTGAGAATGTTATTGTTTAATATTTTTATTATTTTATTATTTCCCTTCCACGTGACTTTACCGAAAGAACCAAGAATATGAATCCCTGCAGTCACGAAAGCTTTAAATCGAAATTTAGTAACGAATTGGCAAGTTTAGCTTTCGTGACACAACATTACTAATTAGCTGTGTCGGGTCGTGGCGGGTTTAACGACTCAACATTTATATTCAAGCGATGTCACCCAATTATGGATAATATTGGTCACAAAAGCCTCGAATGTCTATGAGTTAAACTCTCAATTTGGAGTTTGCGTGTCTTCACCCGTGATCGCGTGGATTTTTCTCCGGATCCTCCGAGTTTTTTCCCCTCCACATTTCAGACTCAAGGTCACGCGTTCAGAGATAATTTGGCTGCTGCTATACATTTCCACGCGATGCTAATCCTCTTCATTTGTGGTCAGGTCTCTTAATGAACAAAAGAGCGATATAGTTAAGTAGGCCTTAGCTGGTAAAATAAAATAAAAATTTGTTAAAAATGTAGTTACAGAATCCATGCATGCAATAATGAAAAATAGTTTAACATCGCCCGGGCTGACCGATGTACCAGATTAATATTTCGTTCGTGACATAAAAAATAATAATCTTGATTTGAACTGTTAATTAAATGAGTCTTCTTAGACATGTTAGCATTTATCCTTGAGACACACCCAGAATTAGTGCAGTGGGGAGCGGTGGCACGGAGGGTCACACTACAAACCCGGCGACCCGAGTTCGGCTCCCGCTCACGGCCACCAACACCACCGACGACGATTATCTGAACTGGTCACTGGGCCTCCCCTAGGCCGGCTCAGACTGGTGCAGAGGTCGCAAACGGGTTTTAATTCCTTACCCGTACCCGTACCCAGCCGCACCAGAGTCGCAAATGGGTACCCGTACCCGGCCGGGTACCCGTTCCCTACCCGTACCCGTACCCTACCCGAAATGAGTGACAAACGGTGACTCACCGGTGACTCACGGCCTACCCGTACCCGGCCGCACCAGGGTCGCAAACGGCTACCCGTACCCGTACGCGGCCGGGTACGGGTAGCCGGGTAACGGGTAGGGTACGGGTATCGGGTACCCGGTTGCGACCTCTGGCCTGGTGCAGCGGGTGTGGGATTAACATCGCCGTCGGTGAGACGAAGGGCGGCCGGGCGTGGTTACTGGCCACCCCACCGGCTCGTGCGACGTGCCGGCCTCCGCACAGGTGCTCGCGAACAGCACTTGCCCGACAGTCTGTTAAGGCTACATGTCGGGGCTGGGTGGGCATCTTTGTCTTTGTGCAGGGACAGGCAGGGAAGTCTGGAGCGGTCGGTGCACGGGGAAACCCAGGTCTTCCAGTAGGTGAAATACTGACCAACCACGCACACGCGCACGCGCCAACTCCTTCGCCCCGGATCGCTCCACCCATTCACTCATTCGTTTATTCGTTCGGCCACTCGGCCGTTCGGTCGCCCACGCGTCCTTCACCCGTTGTCGGTGAGCGATTCAAGTCGCTCGTTTATACAGGTAGGAACAATGTTCCACACTGCCCACCAGGGATTTATTGTCTGTCTGTCTGTCGTGCATATATAAATATATAATACACACAGCTCTTTGATTGGTGGAGACCTTGCAAACAGCTCTTTGATTGGTGGAGACCTACTGCCGGGTACGGAGAGGGGAGGTGCCTAAGGGAGGAGGGTCAGGGGAGGGGCCTAAGAGAGGGGGGGGTCAGGGGAGGGGCCTAAGAGAGGGGGGGTCAGGGGAGGGGCCTAAGGGAGGGGGGGGGTCAGGGGAGGGGCCTAAGGATATGGGGGGTTGGTCAGGGGAGGGGCCTAAGGGAGGGGGAGGAGCCGATAGTGAAGGGGGCTGCCTGGCTACCTGGCTGGATGTTGGCTGTCGTGCACGAATGCGCTGTCCAATCAAGTTCCTACCTGCCCACTCCGAAGGAACGTGTTTCGACGCGCGAGCTCATTCTGTGACTCATTCGTCCAGTCGTCTGTTTAAATTCGCCGTTCATCCGTGCGATCACTCGGCCTTTCCTTCGGTTCTCGTATTCATTCATTCACCCACCCACTCATTCAATGAGCCTCTCTCTCTCTTTCGCAACATTCGCTCACTCATTCCTTCCCAACTCCGGTTCACGCATTTTCAAGGAAGCTCGGTGGTAGCTCTGTGGTATCCACTTCCCCGGGGAGGCCGGCTCCGTACCACGGAGGGCCCCGGCCGCTCTGAGAGGTTTCCGAACGGATTCTTCGTTCTCACGTTGCGACGTTGATCGCACGCAGTCGGGATGAAGTTGATGACAATTATATCATCGGCAAACATGAAAATCTATAACAAACTAAAAAGCCCTTGAAGCTAACCATGCACAGCCACTTCCGATATCTTCCTTTCAGACATTTCCCGTGACCCCTGTGACCTCTGCGACTTCCATGAGCACCTTGACCTCCATGACCCGTGACCTCTGTGATCATATTGTGGTGCCCAGTGACCTCCATAACTCTCATAAACCCCGTGAACCCCATAACCATTGTGACCCCAGTGACTACTGCATGACCTCCTTGACCCCCATAACCGCCGTGACCCCAGTGACCTCAATGACCAGCGCGGATCCAAATTACCTCCTTGACGGCGGATCCCCTGTGACCTGTCACCCCCATTGACCACGTGACCCCCGTGACCTCCTTGACCCCCAGTAACTACCGCGTGTCCCCCGTTGACCACATGACCCCCTTGACCCACAGTGACCACCGCGTGTCCCACGTGACCTCTGTTGACCCCCCGTGACCCCCGTAGCGTTTCCCACGAGCGTGCCGTTGTGTTGCAGGGGGTCATGGGGCCTCCCGGGCCGAAGGGCGTGGGGGGCCAGGAGGGGGCGGCCGGGGACTACGGAGCGGATGGCGTCACCGGGGAGAACGGCCAGCCTGGTTCTCCCGTAAGGCCACCATCATCATCATCATCGTCATCGTCGTCGTCGTCATCGTCGTCGTCACTGTCATTATCGTCGTCGTCGTCATTGTCATCGTCGTCATTGTCATTATCATCATCGTCGTCATCGTCGTCACCGTCATCGTCATTGTCGTCATCGTCGTCATTGTCATTATCATCATCGTCGTCATTGTCATCGTCGTCATCGTCGTCATTGTCATCGTCATCATCGTCGTCACCGTCATCATCGTCGTCATTGTCATCATCATCATCGTCGTCACCGTCATCATCGTCGTCACCATCATCATCGTCATCATCGTCATCACCGTCATCGTCGTCACCGTCAATATCGTCATCGTCGTCATTGTCGTCATTGTCATCGTTATCATCATTGTCATTGTCATCGTCATCATCGTTGTCATCATCGTCATCATCGTCATTGTCATCGTCGTCGTCGTCATCATCGTCATCGTCATCATCGTCGTCATCATTGCCAGATTTGTGGATTTCTCCACAAATCCAGATTTGTGAATTTCTCCACAAATCTGGCTGCTGTCAGCCTGATGATGCCGGTTGTAATTACTGGCGAAACGTCGTACACTCAGATTGTAAACGTTGTGGCTTGGCTCTCCAACACACCGATGTTGCTGTACTAGTAACGCATTGGCAACGTTCTGTTTACGCGACAACCCTTACTAATTGGCTGTGTCGGGTGGTGGCGGGTTTAACAACACATTTATATATTTCTCTTTGGTTCTTTCGGTAAAGTCACGTATAAAGAGAAAATAATAAATTAAATACTAGCATACGACGTTTCCATTGCAACACGAACAATCATCATCAGGTATAACTGAAATAGAAACACAAATCTAGTATACTTAGAAATGGAATGTAATACAACAGAGAGTCGGATAACATAACAGTCAACACCCTACCTGGTTGATTACGTTCTTCCTGAGAATGCTAAATTTGAGAGAGAGATTAAACACAGAACCAGAGACATATAGACAGACATATAAATATTTTGGGGACAATCCATAATACAGACATATAAGTAGAGACAGATATCACAGAGATACAAAAATAGTAATTCCTGCAGTCACGAAAGCTCCAAATTAAGTATTTATATATTTACCTGTATTATGGATTATCCCCAAAATATTTTCCGGCTTAGTTCGCGTAAATATAAACGTGTCTTCTTGGTTCTTTCGGTAAAGTCACGTAGAAGGGAAGTAATAAAATAATTACTTATTATTTTATTACTTCCCTTCTACGTGACTTTACCGAAAGAATAATTATTTTATTACTTCCCTTCTACGTGGTGGTAGAACATCTGAACGCCACCTGTTTCGTTAGCAGAAAGGGAACGACCCCCCGTCCTTATTTTTCATACTTTGTTACCGGAGGCAAGAATCAAAGGTCCCGATGATAAACCCCGCCGCGTTAAACCACCCCCACCACCACCACCACAACCCTCGCCAAGAAAAAATTAATAGTTGAATGAATCTCGACTTGAATCTTTCGTGACTGCAGGAATTCATATTCTTTGGGTCTTTCGGTAAAGTCACGTAGAATGGAAATAACAAATAATAAAAATAAAACATAATAAAATAATTCTCACGACGTTTCGGCCACAACGAAAGCAGCCGTCCTCAGGTGAAGAACAGGTCTGTCGGAAAGACAGCGTCATTCAGACGTCATAATAAAATAAAATAATATTATATATATTACATTTTATTATGTTTTATTTGTATTATTTTATTATTTCCATTCTACGTGACTTTACCGAAAGAACCAAGAAGATGAATCCCTGCAGTCACGAAAGCTTTAAATCGAAATTTAAACTAGTCGTTAAACCCGCCCCCCCCCCCCCCCCCCCACGATGAGCAAGGTTTGCGTCGCGTGAACAAAAACGTGGCCAGCTTCACCTACGAGTGCAGCGCGTGGCGGCCGTGTGTTTCGAGAGTTTTAAACCCAACCGCGGCATTTCCTCCGTGTGTCTCCGCTTCGCCCGCCGCAGGGAGATCGGGGCGACGACGGGGAGGAGGGTGCGGACGGCTCTGCGGGTGCCACGGGCGAACCGGGGAATCATGGCGTGCCCGGTCTCCACGGACCCACGGGTTTCAAGGTTCGCGCAAAAAGCCAAATGGTTTGGCCCGTCGGGAAATGTTTCATTGATCGTTGAGCAACGATCGTCGACTGGCGCTGGGGCTGCGGCAGAGGTCGCAACCGGGTACCCGATACCCGCACCCTACCCGATACCCGGCAGCGATAGTGCGATAGAGCCTTCGACACTTCACGTGGTAGCCTCAAAGTGCACCTAGCCTGGCACAGGCGCCGTGGTGACGTCACCGTCACTTAGTGGCGAATGGTGCGGGGTATTGGTAGTGAAAGCGGTCGTAATCCACAGCGGATTAGTAAGGTTTGTCACGTAAACAGACCATTCCAATTCGTCACTAGTACAGCACATCCGTTGTGTTGGAGAGCAAATCCACAACATTCACAATCATCTGAGTTTACGACGTTTCGCCAGTAATTACAACGGGCATCATCATAAATCGAGGTGTAGATGTTATGACGTCACTTGTGAGCCCTACACGTGCGAAGGGGGGGTGGGTGGGGGTGGATTAATGAATGCATATCAATTACAATGGGCTGTGTCGGGTGAATAGGCGGGTTTACCGACACATTTATATTTACGTGATCTAACCCAAACAAAAAAAAACCCTCTTATTACAGATTATATCGGTTGCTGAAGCCTCCTTCTGCTACCCAATGTTAAACTGATCAGTGGCAATGTTGGTGATAGTGATGGCATTGGTGGTGGCTGCTGTGTGCGTTCCTGTCAAGGGAGGGATGGGTTTGCCTGGGCAGGGCGGTCCAACCGGGATGAGAGGATCGGAGGGCACCACGGGGATAGCCGGAGAGACCGGATCGCCAGGCAGCAAAGGGAAGCCCGTAAGTGACGTGCACGCACACACAGACACGTGTGAGCCTCAACAGACTGCTGGGGCAAGTGCTGTTAGCGAGCAGCAGGAGCACCATACCTGGCAATCACTTATCAGTGCCCTATCTTATTGTAACGGGTTCCGGAGGCACTTGTAGAGGTAACTTCTTTATTACAATACAACACTCCAACAGTCCTGATACTCTGTTACAGCCTAGGTACACAACCTAGGTACACAGCCCACCACTGGCCCGCACAGCGTCCCGGCCCTTACAAGGACAAGCGGGACGAGGGGGTCCAGGGTCCTAAGCTGGCTGGCTGGCGGGTCTTGGGTCTTGAGCTGCTGCGACTGGCCCCGATCAGCCAGGGAGCTGCCCTTTTATGCCTCGTCCCCAACGAGGGGTGGGGTTGTGTGCGCCCCCAGATATCCCACAGAGCACACACAGCCCCCCTGTTGGTGGCGCCAAGGGGCTTAGCTGTATGGGTTGCCTGGGATCCTAGCGCCTGGCGCCAAGGGCTTATCTGCCTAGGATCCCAGAGCCCCCAGAAGCCCCTCCCCTCTTATGGCACAAGCGTAGGATTGATCACCCTGTCGCTGGCCGCCTTTGGGGAGGGTGTATAGTGTGAAAGGCCGAAACACCCTAGGAACCAAAGGTTCACTACTGACGATGCGCTCCCCAAATTTCACCAGGCTCATTGTTCATGAACTCTTGGAAGTGCTTGCACAAAGGATAGTAACATCTCATCCTGTTTTCTTGGAATCACAGAGCAATTCCGAACCTTATTGGTCACCCCGTGCCGCTTATAAATCTCAACGTTCATCCTACAAGAAGTGAACCAGCCATCACAAGTGATAGCTCAACGAAGTGGACTTATCACCATCCTTCTGGAAATTTATAGCAGCAGCCGAATACTCTAAACGCGTGGTGACGTCGATTCTAAATGTGGAGGGGAAAACCCGAGGGCCCCGAGAACAATCCACGCGACCACGGAGAGAGAGAGAGACACGCAAACTCTAAATATACAGCAGCAGTCGTCATGGTCGTGATCGAACCCACGACCTCCTGCACTCCAGGCGAGGTAGTTAACATCTCGTCACGTGTGTATGTGACGTGCGAAATTGTCGTCTTGTTTTGGCAGGGAGACTCTGGAGAAGCGGGCTTCAGTGGAATGCAAGGTCCAATCGGCCCAAAGGTTGTTCAATTTCTGCATTCAGTTGTTCAATTTCGCTTATCGCGTTTCAAAAAGTGTAACCCGTTTTTCCGTTCGTTCGTTGGTTGTTTTTCGGGGTGGGGGGGGGGATGAGGTTCATTCCCAGCGTGCTGAGATCAAGTGCACATTCGGGACACGCTCGCTCGCTATGGATCATGGCCCGTGGATTGAGATACCGCAGAACTGGTTCTGAGAGCCCTTGGAATGTTGAACACGTGGTAGGCTTTCACGACCAATATCATCCACAATACAGGGTTTTTTTTTTTGGGGGGGGGGGGGTTAGATCACATAAATATATAAATGTGTCGTTACTAGAGCAGCACCGGTGTGGCAAACCTTACTAGTTGGCTGTGTCGGGTGGTGGCGAGCTTCACGACACATTTATGTATTTACGCGATCAAACCCAACACTATGGAGCCCCCTGGAATGTCACCAATTCCGATTCCGTCTCCTAACCGGTACGCGTGCGGAATTTGAAGCAACGGCACGAGTTTCCCCACTCCTCTTTCTTCTTCTTAGACGTACTGGCCAGCGTGGAAGAGTAGGCCAACAACACCCGCTGGAGCCCTCTCCGTAGTCGAAGACCCTCTTCCGCTGGCAGCGGCGGCAGCCAAGCAATTGCAGGACCTGCGCCTTTACTTTTGTAACGCGTCGATATGTGCGCGCGTGGTTGTTGTTGTGGTGGTTGTTGTGGTTGTTGTTGTGGTGGTTGTTGTGGCAGGGATACCGGGGCGACGCGGGGCCGTACGGGATCATCGGACCGCGAGGATCTCCGGGAATGATCGTATGGCTTCACACGGCGATGGCAACAACAACAACAACACACCAGATGACAACAACAACCAGATGACAACAACACACCCACTAACAACAACACACCAGATGACAACAACCAGATAACAACAACAACAACAACACACCAGATGACAACAACACGCCCGCTAACAACAACAACAACAACCAGATGACAACAACACACCAGATAACAACAACACACCCACTAACAACAACAACAATAACCATATGACAACAATAACCAGATAACAACAACAACACACCAGATTACAACAACACGCCCACTAACAACAACAACAACCATATGACAACAATAACCAGATAACAACAACAACACACCAGATTACAACAACACGCCCACTAACAACAACAACAACAACCATATGACAACAATAACCAGATAACAACAACAACACACCAGATAACAACAACACACCCACTAACAACAACAACAACCATATGACAACAATAACCAGATAACAACAACAACAACACACCAGATTACAACAACACACCCGCTAACAACAACAACAACCATATGACAACAACAACCACATAACAACAACAACACACCAGATGACAACAACAACCAGATGACAACAACAAACCAGATGACAACGAGACACCAGACAACAACACACCAGATGACAACAACGACACACCAGACAACAACAACACACCAGATGACAACAACAACCAGATGACAACAACAAATCAGATGACAACGACACACCAGACAACAACACACCAGATGACAACAACAACAAACCAGTTGACAACGACACACCAGACAACAACACACCAGATGACAACAACAACAAACCAGTTGACAACGACACACCAGACAACAACACACCAGATGACAACAACAACAACACCGGATAACACAATGGATAATACGGCAGTTATCGCAACAAAGCGGATAATGTGGCAGATTATCCGGGCAGTGACCTTGGGCTGCGGCGCGCGTGCCGTGTGACTTGCCTGTGGATCCAACGCTGTGGAATCCGATGGGCTGCAAAGCTCTTTTCTTTCACATACGTCTGGTAGTGGGGCACGGGGTCAGAACGGTCGCAACGACAAACACAAACACGATAGGGGTGCAGAGTGCAAGAGAGTTAAACGAATCTTGATTTGAAGCTTTCGTGACTGCAGGAATCCACACCCTCTGATTCTTTCGGCAAAGTCACGTGGGTATAAGAAAACATAATCAAAGAAGAAGACACGACGTTTCGGCCGCAAAACAAGCGGCCTTCTTCAGGTGAGAGGCCGGCCGCTAGCGCCACCTGGAGACGGCTGCTTGTGTTATGACCGAAACGTCGTGTCTTCTTCTTTGATTATTTTTTTCTTCTATCTACCCACGTGACTTTACCGAAAGAACCAGAGATTGAAGGTAAGCAAATCACCGCTATAAATATGCGCACACAAGTAGAACGAAACTGTTGTTACTTTATATTCTTGGTTCTTTCGGTAAAGTCACGTAGAAGGGAAATCAAATTACACGATTGTGAATAATCAAATGTCGTCTCGAACGTATAAATCTCAACGTTCATCCTGCAGAATCCCATCACAAGGGAGAAACACAAATAGACAAAAAATTATAGTTTACCCGTATTGAAACGGCTGTACACCGTATGGACTTGAAAACTCAATTCCCCCTGTACAAGTGTAACGGGTTCCGGAGACACTTGTAGAGGTAACTTCTTTATTACAATACAACACTCCAACATATTCTTCAACACTCCAACAGTCCAACTCTCCAACAGTCCTGATACTCTGTTACAGCCTAGGTACACAGCCTAGCTACACAGCCTAGATACTCTACTCTGGCTACGCTCCGGAACTCGTCCTCACAAGGCCGTAGAGTCGGGAGTTCCAGAGTCCCAGCGCTGGCTCTCACAGCATCCCAGGGTCTTCAGATGGCTGGTCGTGGGTCTTGGGTCTTGAGTTACAACTGGGCCCCGATCGTCCAGGGAGCTCTCCTTTTATGCCTGGTCCAACGAGGGGTGGGGCCAAAAAGGCTTAAGCGCCTGGGAACCCAACGCCTGGCGCCCAGAGGCTTAAGCGTCTAGACCCCCTGGGAACCCAGCGCCTGGCGCCCAGAGGCTTAAGCGTCTGGACCCCCTAGGAACCCAACGCCTGGCGCCCAGAGGCTTAAGCGTCTAGACCCCCTGGGAACCCAGCGCCTGGCGCCCAGAGGCTTAAGCGTCTAGACCCCCTGGGAACCCAGCGCCTGGCGCCCAGAGGCTTAAGCGTCTGGACTCGCCTGGGATCCCAGAGCCCCCAGCAGCCCCTCCCTTCTTATGTCACTACACACGAATACGGGGTAAACCGTATGGGTTGACACGGTATGCAAATCCTCTATTATGGATTCTTCAATTTTCTGGAAAAAATTACACTGCTGCTAATTACACGATTGTGAAATCGATGATCACATGTCGTCTTGAGCGTCCACTTTTGTCACTGCAGGGCAGCTCTGGTGTGGCTGGGCCCTCTGGCCTCTCGGGGCCAAACGGAGTTCCCGTAAGTACCCGGGGGCGATCCCACGTGGCCCGGGGTCAAAAGGTCACCGTGCCCCAGCCATCGCTTGCTTTTTCCCCTGCTGCCAGATGCTGGCAGCCGTTTGCACGGCAGTGGGGCGGCTCGTGACATCTCCACTCAGTGGTGGCTGTTGTGAGCGAAAATCTGGGCGTTTTAATTAAGAAAAACCTCGTCGTGTTACACTGGTCAACAAAAAACAAAAACATGTTTTTCTGGCCTGGACTTTTGCAGCTGTTTTAGACTAATTTCAGGGTGCTGATTCCAAATGTGATGTCAGATTTGCTCTATCACGTCTGAATTTATGCTATTGGCATACCTATTTTAATTGATTTTACCCAAAATTAACTCTGCCACTTATGATTGCAAGTTGTTGCGAGTCAGCGACTGTTTCAGTGTTAAAATATGGCGCTGTATTTTTAGGATAGTGTGCTTATATAATTTTACGTAGATATCCACATTTATTTAATATTTTTCTTTTGCAGTTTTTATTGAAAATGCAATATTTGATATCTCAAAAACCTGATGTGATAGACAAAAACGGATGCCAGATTTGGAAGCAGCACCCCAAAATTATATACCTTATGCCAGAAAAAAGTGTGTTGACCAATGTAATCGGCCTTCCCGTGAAAGTGACACAGGGCGTTCATAAACAATATACGACGACAACAAAATAACAAAGCGATCAATCGCTGTCCCCATGACCCTCAAGTCCACACCACACAACTCATTTGACGCTGCGAAAAGCCTTGAGGTTTTCGCAGACATAGCAGGACATGACCTGCTATGTTTGCACAGCGCAACCCGGCGTTGTGACATCGTCTCGTTGCAGCCACGGGTGCCTTTTTATAAATCCTTTATATTAAGTTCGCTTGCTTGCTTGCTTGCGCGCTTTCGACCGTGCAAATCTTTCGGTCGTTTTTTAACCCACTTTTCCCGTGATCCAATCGAGCTGACATTTTGCACACAGACTCGTTGTGCGTGACAATTAATTTCCGTGAAATTTTTTTTTCCAAATTTTTACAATTTTTAGGAATTTTTTATTTATATTTAATTACCAATTGCTTAATGGTGGCAGGCAATCATCTGACCCATAGGTGGCAGCCATCTCAAGCCAGAGGACGAGAGGACTCTAGCCGCCTCGCATATAAAGGATTTATAGTGAAAAACTTTGTTTTTTCGGGTTAATTTTTTTTCAGCCGCACCACCTCTACATAACAAAAAGGCTCAGTCCCATTTACACGCACCTTTACATCATCCGCACCTAGTTTACACAACAAAGGCTCATTCCTAACAGCGTGCTTCAGCCGCACCGAACCTCACAAATATAATATTCAGAGCCTACCTTGGCTCCTCCCACCCTCAACCAGTATATATACAAATACTGTTTTCTTGGAATTTCTCTCACTTGATACAGCTATCGTGCTGTGACGGTTCCACCTGAAGACGGAAGCTTGTGTTGCCTCCGAAACGTCGTGATTTTTAT